GACACATAACAGTGTAACAACGGTGATGTAAAGACCACACAGCAAACAGCCCTGTCAGCAGTCAGTGCAGTCAGTTTTCTGTAAGCCTAAGATTACTGTCATCTCACTGGTGTGACACTGTCACCTGTGTTTGACACGGCAGTTTCGTCTTGTAGCCGCCGTAGGTTTTGTCGGCGCTGTTGTCTTCGCTGTGCCGTTTGCAGATGTTGAGGTTTCCCCTTGAATAGCAGAGCTGCTGGGAAGCTGGCTGGCACACTGATGGATCATTATGGTTTCCTTATTGGTTTGGTGTTTGTGGACGAGGCCCAGTACTACCTCACAGATATATGGGATGGAGCTGGTCCAGCTCTGAAACCTGAGATGAGGATTGTGGCCGACTCCAGCAGCTGGAAACAATGGTCCCTCTCTATGTGTGTCTCTGTGTTACATTATTTCCACTCTGTCTGTTTCTACATGTTTTTTTCAAATGGTGTGGAAAATAAAAGAAGAAATGAAACATTCTAAAATAAACAAAGAAGGAACTTGGAGTATTTTCAAGAACCTATAAATGTGACCGTGACCTTCTTCTCGTTATTAGAAATATTTCTTTCTTCTTAGTATGCATCTGTTTTGCCGTCCACATTGTATACTTCATAAAAATAGCTTTCTTTATTCAATCAGTGTTGATATGATTAATGACTGATATGTTTGGTCCAACTTACACATAATATCTTTAACTCAATAAAGGAAGGTAACCTGCCGTGTCGTGGAATGGATGGCTTCACTTTAAGCGACAAGACTCTGCTCGAGTTTGTGGAAGTACCGTAAATGTGAAACACTTGAGCAGTTACAGTCGGCCTCTCAGTGAACAGCACTCCTGCTTGCACTTCCTGTATTTACGTATTATAGGCAGTGGCATTTGAAGCTTAAATCAGCTCTGAGGTAGTGTCCTGTTAATATTGTTAAGTTTCAGCAGCTCCTCCTGGTGAATGCAGCTAATTCAATACCAGTAGACAGTACTGGGAGGAGAGGGGAGGAGACGGGGAAGGACCGGAGGCTTAATCTAATCTGCCTGGTGCATTGCTGCACATACATCAGTCTTCTGTTTATGGAAAAATTGTGTAAGGGCAGTTAGTGCTTGATTATGGAGCCAGTCTGCCAACGATCCCTATCTGATTGGTATACAATATGTGCCATGTGGAGACTGTGGAAATAACACAGGTCAATATGTAATCAGGGAAGTCATTCATTTCTATAGGGCAGTGTACGATTTTCAGGTGAACATTTGGAGGTTATCTCTGTAGTGGGCATCATGTCATATTATCACCAACATTGTTGGATTAGTTTACAGGAAACAAATTCAACACCACTTGTAATTAGATTTTCACTGAAGTCTATGGTTTTGGACTGGAAATCATGACAGATATTCAGTCACTTTGAAACGTTCCCAGCACCTTTTCCAAAATCCTACACATAATGATGAGATAAAGAAGAATTTTGTTACTTAAGCAATTTGTCTCTGTATCTGACATTCAATTGGGCAAGTTGAGCCTCACTGACCTTTAAGCACCCTACCTTTGACCCCGGGTCCATGTGGCATGAAGTGAGAAATGTGGTCCTTTCCAAATGTGAGCAGAGGTCATCCATTCTTTTGTTGGAGCTCAATGAATACCAGCACAAAGGCATGGGTCATAAAATGCAGATCAAGACCTGTGTCTTTTGTCTCCATAGAAAGGCTTGGAGTCAGGCAAAGACTGTTTGACAAGATCTTATGATCAGATAGTTTAATCACCAACCATCTGATTACTCAGCTTTAAGGACATCATTGGTCGATTGTTAGGAGGTTTTTAACCAGGAAATGTTTTGGAAAATCTTGGTCTCAGGTTATTTAAAAAAAAAAAAAAAGGTTAAACCTTTACTCATTAATGCACATTGATGCTGCTGAAGCAGACTGAGGATGTTCACTTCTTGGTTATATGTAACTGTCTTTATTTGTTGCCATTGTCATGATGTGGTTTTCTAGTCCCAAGTCTGTGTTGTGGTTCAGCTCTAAATGTAAAACATGTGTACCATGCTGACCTGGACCAGACCCAGACCACGTTTGGGTCATTGTGTTGTGTCTAAACCCAGTACTTGGCAACTACATTGTTGTTCTATATACAACAACACTGTACAGAAAGACTGTTTGTGACCAATCTACGATCTAAAGAATAATAAGAAACTGTTTGTTGAAACCAACATTAAGGTTTCAACCTGTGATGAATGAAACCCTGTGTGGGCTTCTGTGCTTTTTGTCATTTTCCTGAAGATGTCTTAAAAAAAAAAACCACAAAGACTAAAGAGTGCAGCAATCCTTCACCTCCTCTTTGACATCATCGCCTTTATTTTCCTGCGTCCCGGTGGCAGGCACCCAGTGACGTTAGTAGGTTTTTGTGTGGCTGCTGCTGTTCCTGGATTCAGTGACGCCAGTTTACAAGGCTGCTATGTGATCCCTCAGTTACCAGGCTTTCATCGTGAAAGACCCAGCAGTCACTGCAGTGCACTTTCAACCATTCATCACCAGCGGCTCAGGCTTGGCTCCATTGAAGCAAATACGTCCTTCAGCCTGTTTCTTGTCCTGGCAGAGCGCTAAAGCACCATCAGGGATGAGAGCTGGTGGAACATGTGGTGAATAATAGACCTTTTAATGTAAGCTGTTTTAAAGACGACACCATCCCCATAAATGCTTATGTCCTAATAGTACTTTAACTGTATGTTTGGCACCACATCCTCTGGAAGCGATGTGCTTACAGGAACATGTTTTTATATATATATATATTTCATAGTACTTAATGTAATGTGCCAGTCAAAGCAGACAGAAAAGGAAATGAACCGTCCTGGAGAGAGGAGCAGTTTTGCAGTAATTGCAGATGAGCTGATAAAAGGAAAATTCAGAAAAGGTGCTGAGCATCTCTCCTTTTCAGACCCTTGCTCCACCAGAACATTCTCATGCCCCTGGTCATAAAGAAGGTATATCTTCTGCCATTTATGATGACATTTATGGTAAAATATTTAAGATCCAGACATGACATTTAATAGTTAGCAGGTGTGAATGATTCTCCCACTGTAAACTGACAGTAAACGTGCACGCAGCAGCCTGTGCTTACAAAGAGGCTTGTTCTTATTGGTGCAGGAGAACCACCACCACCACCACGTGTTCTTTGTTTTAGCTCCCTGCTCTCCTTATTTTATTTTTACTGCCCTCAATCTCCTGACAGTGTGTTGTCTGACACAGACTGAATCCTGTTATAACCAGGAGCAGCGGTGAAAAAGGAAAGTAAGAAGAAGGTGACGAGGGGTCATAAACCACCGCTGGGTCACGGCTGCGCTGACTGTGGAAAAGTATATTATTAGGACACGCTTCTGAACGATTTACTTAGTCTGTGCAACAGGTGTGTGTGTGCTTTGCTGATTCACTCTCTTTATGGCACATAGCATCTGCCGCAGTTGCTATGTGAGGCACAAACATGTAGACGGTCATCGCTCACAGTGCTCACTGTGAGACAGTGATGTTATCAGCTGGAGGAAATGGGGTTTCTATTGACAGTGGTGCGAAGTTCACTTTGTTTCTATTGACCTTCAAGTCAGTGTCTCTGCTCCTTCTTTTTTCACCCCTGAAAAAAAAAATCACAGTTAAGCAGCAGTTAGTGAACAGTCACAGTTTCCCGACGCTCTCTTCAATCTTTGGTCACTGCACGTTAAGTAGAAGTTAAGATGGTTGGTATTCAGACAGTATAGTACATTCTTTTTGTCTGTGGTTTTCTTTTGTTTGTTTGTTTGTTTGTTTTGGATGTTATTCCTGTGTCAACTTGGAACAATACAGTGACTGCTCAGAGCGACCTCACTGAATGGTTCCATCACTAGTGCTGATTGTTAAAGGAGTTAAATTAGTAGTTCTATGACTTCAAACTTCAACTTAAGATGTTGTTAAGGCGCTACATTTAAAAGAACAGATGGAGTTTGTGTGACAGCAGTTTTCAGGGAAACCTTTAGGTCAGATATTGGCCACACACCCACACTATCTTTTGGGCAGTTACAAACAGTAATGCACTCAACATAATCAAATATTTGTATCCTGCCATTAGGTTTGTGTCACAAGCTCTAATGATATTCTCTTCTTCTCTAATGATACTATTTGCTTATAAAAATATTCCTAAAATATTAGGAATATCTAATTCTACCACGCCGTCACTGGTGCCAGTCCTTCTGAAAGAAAGAAGGAATGGAAAAAGGAAGAAAAGAAGGACTGAAGGTGTTGGAGGAAGTAATGTGTCAACAGTAGATGCACCATTTCACCAGACAATGATATAAATCTTATATATCTCTATATAAAAATAAGACTAACAAATATGTCGCCAGTTTTGCAGCCAGTGTGTGGGAAGAGGAGGAAGAGGAAGCTCTGACTGACAGGGTGGGGCATTAAGAACGTGTACATCACAGGCTCATTTGACCTATGAATGAGTGTTGAGCTTTAAAAAAGTCTCGCATTTACTCAATTTTTTTATTGTTGTTCTAAAAAGATGAGAACAAACCAGAGGAACCCATTTCTTTTAATCAAACTCTCTGTGAATCTCTTTTCACTTACATGAGAATGAAAACAGAAAGCTCTTTCATACTCACTTGTTACAGATGACGATTTTAATTAATTTTTGTGTGCAATTTTTTTTCTTCTTGCTCTTTGTCAAAGTCAGTACTGAGGCAGAGCCCTGGGTTTCATCAGATACGAGGAGTTTTCTCTGTTTTTCAGTCATAGTGTTGGAGTTGGAGCGTGTACTCATCAAAGGACCAGAATATGTTTCCGTCTGTCTTCACTGTGATGTACTAAATAGCATATAACTGTTTGCATTTTCCTTTGAATTTTAAGCATCTACTGCTTTTCTTTGAACCAGTTATGTCAAAAATCACAAATACAGGCACACAGAAAATATTTGGACATTTTTCCAAACTCAGTTGTACTTTTCTTGCTGTTTCCCTCCTTCTAGGTTCCTCCTGATGAGTGGAGCTGCAACATTAGACTGTTGTGTCCAAAGTTGTGGTGGGGACACCGATGGTCTGTGCAGCCCACACCTACTCCCACTTCTCTCCTGCTCTTTCTCCTTATCCCTCTCCTCCCCTTTCCCTGACTCCCCTCCCCTTCTTTCATGTATTCCCAGTCCCAGGCTTATTGCTCAGAACAAGTGAAGGGAGAAACTCCGGAGCTGGCAGAGGATGAAGGGGGACGGCCTGCCAACACCAGACAGAGGATAGGAGACACTAAAATGGCCAGCAAAGGGGTGAGGGAGTGAGAAGAAGACTAGAGCAGGGGAGGACGATACAACTGTGGGGGGAAAAAAAACTACTACGCTCAAGATGCCACGCCTAAAGAACAGACACCAGTTTCACTTGAGTGTCAGTAACTAGTTGGGCATCACTCACTGACCTGGAACTGTGGATTTTTAAAAATAAACTATCAACTCAAGTTCACGTCAAAAGTTGCTAGGACGCATAATCCGGTTTTTTTGGGGCTCCTTGTTGCGACCGGCTATGCCTGCGTGAGAAGAGTGAACTATGCCAGCGAAGGGGAAGTACCTGCTGAATGAACAGGAGCTGAAAAATGAGGCATTGTATCGCAAGTTCTCCTGCATCAGCCAGTATCAGCCGCTGGTGCTCCTGCTGGGTCTGTCCATGCTCGCCTGTGGCATCCTGCTCATCCTCTTCTTTGCCCTCGGACTGGTGAGTCTTCACTATGGTCCAATGTTTGAAATGAAACAATAGTTATGCACAAGATTTTAGTCCTGTTTTTGTTTTTCTGTGCCAGAGGCAGTTGGTTTAATTCAAAATAAGATTTCATTTTTAATTAAAAAAAAAGATTCTTTAGGTAGTGCCAGTGGAATGTGTCCTTTCACTTTTACCTTGACTTGACTGGTAGCAGTGAAATGAAAACACAGCATCCTCACTGAGCAGGTGACCCTAATGGGAACACCTCTAATTACTGACCTAAACGAAGTGGACGCAATTTGCTATAGTTTGTGATTTTCAAAATAGGAGCTGATTTGTTTATTGTAGCAGTGTTTAACTGTCTCAGTCCAGTCAATGTAAAGTGCTTTACAGCAAGTGTTTTCTTATTGATTACTGTTGCACATATCCTCGTCCTCATGTCTCCAATAACAGTCTGTGTGGTACACACCCACAACAGACCGTATGTATGTTACTGAAAACGTGGAGTGCATTTAATGATACCCATCACCATTACACTACTACTGTATTTTTATTACTATCTGAATACACTTGATTCATCTTTGATGCAGTAGTATTTAATACCACACAGGCATTGATTGATTATAGTGTTTACTATAAATCCATCTTCCTTGAAAGTACATTGGGGAAAAAAGTATTTAAAAAAAACGCTTTTTATTTTATAATGTAGTTTATTGTTAAGCCAACAGAACAAAGATGGAGCTGAAAGCTCTGTTACTTTATCTGACTTGTCTTTGTCTTTGTCTCTGTCTCTGTCTCTGTGTCTGTGTTTATGAGCCTTAGTCAACCTGTAGTCAACCTGTGTGGCTACTGTTTTCTGGAGGTCTTTTTCATGAGATACCAGACATGTTTAACAAACAGATATTTGACAGCAGTTCGGTTTTTCTTGGTTTTGTTTTTGGTTTTTTACAAACAACAACAGATTTACAGCCTCCTAATTCCTAATATTCTATGAGGCTAAAGAGCCACACGTGGCTCCTGAGCCACAGGTTGCAGACCGATATAGATTTTAATATAAGATGCAGCCGTTACAAAACTGCCACTAAATCTGTATATCCTAAAATGTAAAACATAACAGCATGGTCAGGTCCAGTCAGTGCTTCAAGATGTGAAAGATAAAAACCTTTCTTTCCTCTGCATGAAAGACTCGTCAACTAAAACACTTAACTCTGCTTCACTCAGAGCTGCTGAGGAGGTTGAATGGACCGGTGTTTTTGTACAAATGTAAGAAATGACGTGAAAATTGGTTTTACGGTTACTTTCATGGTGTTTCTTTCAGATTGTTTTTGCTACACGTTTAATCAAAGTCACAATGCACTGCTGTGAGGAAATTCAAATTTCTTTTCTTTTCAGTCTGTTCAATGGTCAAGGTCTGCTGCGGGAAAGTACACACTCGTCTAGGAGCTATTTAAATTTGCTCTAAAGCATATTTGGAAAAAAAAGAGAGAAAGAAAAGAAAACAGATTTCAGATGGGTTCTGCTTTGTGCAGAGATTTCTTCACCGGAGTTTGTGCGTGGGTATATTAACTTCCTGCTCTCCTGATCTCAAAACTAAAATGTTTTTACAGCCTTGGTCCAGAAACTGAATTGACAGATACATATGAAGTGATGTTTGCAGCATGTTGTTACGAAGGTATAAAGAATCTGTGTCAGACAGCAGAGCAGACAGGTTCTTCATACGGTGAACTGACAGCTCCTGTCAACAGAGATTATATTACTCGGCTCTCGCTAGAAACCCCCCGCCCCATCATAATAACCCTTTCTTTCTCTTGCTGCTGACTGTCTGACACACCTGTGTCACAAAAGGCTTGATATTGTTTGATATTCTCCCTATTTATACTGTACATGCATTCACACACACGCAGGGCTGAGTCTAAAATGTTGAAGAACAGATGTTAGTTATACATAGTTATAATTTCAAAAGGTGGAAGATTTTGTTGTTGTTGTTAAAACAGTCCTTAGACTAAACAAAGATGCAGGTTTGTCACCTGGTGTGAAATGATATGAATTTCCCACAATCCATCAAATAAGGAATTATTTGGAGGATATTTGAAGAAATGTCTTGGAGCTCTTTAGGCATCTCTCACATAAACATGCAGGGATCAGGAATTCAACAAACATTTCCCAGTTATATGACATCATCTCCATCCATTACCGTAGTATTAGTAGTTTTAGATATGCTCAGAGAAAAGCATCCAAAAGTGTCTTTTCTGTGCATCTGTAAATTGTACATAAACAGTTGATCTATGGTTAGTCTGGTCCATGACATCACCATAGAGATTGGGAATGAATAATAAAACATTTTTGTAAAAAAAAAAAAAAAATCAAGTAAAATACTCTGTTCTACTCTGAAGAATACTTTGTTCTTTTGCCCTTTAATTATTTTTAAATATACCATCTGAGAATAGGACAGTCGTTCGCAAACTTCTTTTGCACCATCACCCCGTTCGTAGATATGACTATTGTCGTAGCCTGCTTCAAAGCTTCAAAACTCCACTGAATTGTAAATTCTTAATATAATAATAAACATAAATATAGTAAATAATGCTGTGCTACTCCCTAACATTAGGTCTGCGCCTCCCTCTTTGAGAACCAATGGATTATTGTTTGTAGATCCCCAGTTGTCCACTTTGTGATCGACTTATTTGGATTTAAAAATAATGAACTAGTCAGACTTATGGACAGGTCTTCCTTTTTTATGTTAGGCAAATTCCTTTACGCTGAGGTCAGGGGAGCTGAGAGGAAAATGTTGGGATGGAGCTGCTGTAACACTGTTGGCTAATACAAAGGACCTGCAGAGGCCCAGTTAGCACCAGTTAAAATGTCAGCGTCATCTTGTATGTCTCCTCTCCAACTGTGACTGTAAATGCTAACGCTGAGAGGAGAGGTGAACATCATCACCAGGCCCTGACTCCTGAGATGGACTGTGTTAGGCAGGAGAAAATACAGTGATGTGTGCAGTGTCGTATAGTGTCAGTGTCATGTAGGCTGACGGAGGCAGGGCAAGGAGTAGATACTGTGTGTGATTGACAGTTGAACCTAATTTAGGAGCCGCGGGTGCAGGTAAGGTCAGTGAATCAGTCTCACATATTTGAATCTCAGTCACCTTTATGATCATCAGTCAGCAAAGCAGTGTTTGAATGAACAGTGTTTTAAAAGTGTATTAAAAAGTGATAAAACTCTCCTCAGTCGAATGGCATTAGAAATGATACTACTGCACATACGAGTGACAGAGGAGCTGTGTGATACAATATTATGGACAAACTGACAATTTAAATTAAATCTTACAATAGAGTAATTTATGTAAATGGACTTTCTTACAGAATTGTGACTGTTGTTGTTGGATTGATCATCACAGCTGTAACTTTACCTGTTGACATGGAAACAGTGCAGGTAGAGCCTGGAAGTCTGCCGGATTTGTTAGAAGCCTTCGCTAAAACCTTAGAGGGAAAAATAAATTCTACATAAAGCCATAACTGCTAGACTATTATAATGAGTACACAGTATGGTAATGTAATAGTGAATTATAATATATATATATATATATAAAAAAAAACAATTTGTGTGCATAATATACATATATTTACATATTTATGTATGTTTGTGTGTGTGTGGCTTAATGCATACAAATTAAACAAAATGCAACCATTGGGTAACAACCTGTAGCATTAGGTTGAGCAACATTTCATAATTTCAAAAAACAAAAATTAATTTAAAGTGAAAATGTGTTAATGGAAATAAAGTTTCTGAAGTAATACAAGAATATAATATCAGGTCATAAAATACCATGTCTTTTGTCTTTTGTAATCTGTATATATTTACATATTTACGTATGTTTGTGTGTGTGTGGCTTAATGCATACAAATTAAACAAAATGCAACCATTGGGTAACAACCTGTAGCATTAGGTTGAGCAACATTTCATAATTTCAAAAAACAAAAATTAATTTAAAGTGAAAATGTGTTAATGGAAATAAAGTTTCTGAAGTAATACAAGAATATAATATCAGGTCATAAAATACCATGTCTTTTGTCTTTTGTAATCTGTTGCTTTTTCTCACAAAATCGCAGCTTTGTGTCTGTGGCTATTTGTTTTACCTTTGCAAAGGTTTTGGCAAGATTTGGAGCTGAGAGAGTAGAAAGTGCTGTATTTGAGATCTGGCCTTTTCCACTGCTGCCATGGAAACGGCAAAGCTCAACATACAATGCAGAGATGGCCTTCTGTGTGGAGAGATCTATTAAGACTGACTTTGTGTGTCTGTCTCACCCTTGAGCACTTATTTAACCCTTTGTTTTCTCTCCTGCACCCCTACCCTCACCCTTCTCCCCCCTCACTCCCACACTCTCTCAAACTTAACCAGGACTAGTGGCACACACACTGTTAGGCAAAAACAGATGCTTGCTTTTGTGCGTGTGTTCACATACACAAAGCACAAATATTACATAGCACAAAGAACCACTTCCTGGGGCTAAATGTTTGGTTTTATACATTAAAAAAAACATTTTCATTCTTTCCTTCATGTCCATTTTTATTGTAAAATACAAGCAATAAAATATTAATAATATAATAAAATACAATACATTTAAGTCAGACACAAACTGTTACCTTTTCTTTGAAATGAAACAGGTAAAGCAACCCATCTGGCTGTAATTAAAGCTACAGTCCGTTTGGTTTTACTGTGAACTCATCCTTGTCCTTGTACGTATTTTATTTTGAAATCCACAGTACCGTTGCGTGCCGATTACATCCACACCAGTCTTACACAACATATGTGTTCAATTTTCTCCTTCTCCTCGACCGCTGGAGCAGAGCGCGCAGGAACACTGTGCCTTTGTGAGCGTGGTGAGTGGCGGCCTGTTTGTGTTCCTGGCTGTGTTTGTGCTGGTGTGCACAGAGATACTTTCTCAGCGATGGAGACGTCCACTGGGTCTGATTGTCTGGGCCACACACATCACCATGGGCTCCACATTCATCTTCTGCAGCCCCATCATCCTGCCTTGGGACCAGGTAACCTGGGAGACACAGTTACATTTTCAGAATACCAATTCTTGAACATGAACAGATCTAAAGTGACGGAACTGATGATCACCTCAGATCGTGTGACCTCTGTTCCTCCAGGTGCCTTACTTCCTCTTCATCATCTTCACTGTGTACACCATGCTGCCATTCCAGCTGTGGTATGCTGTGGTGCTGAGCGTTCTCTCCTCCCTCTCCCACATTATTGCCCTGACAGTGTATCTCACCATTAACAACAGTCTGCCCATCCCCTACCTTGCTAACCAGGTAAGATTGGTCTAGAATTTCACTTTTTTTTATTATTTTTTTTTTCTATTTTCTCTAACTCTATGCTGAGGAAATGTCTGGATCTTCTGTTTTTGAGTCAGTTGGAAACGTATTGCATTTGTTGTCAGTAAGGGCAAGTCGTCTTTTTTTTTTTTTTTTTGTCCCTCTTAAGGGCCCTGTTCTAGTTCGATTCCTACATGGTCACCTGTGTCTTCTCTCGTAGCTTCTGTCCAACGTGGTGGTGTTTCTGTGTGGCTGTGTGGTGGGAGCCTTCCACAAGGTTCTCATGGAGAAAACGCTGAGGCAGACGTTCCAGGACACCCTGAGGTGCCTGCGCATGAGGATGAAACTGGAGATAGAAAAAAGACAACAGGTCTGACAAAATCAGCTGTAAAGCTGTGATGAAAGATCAGAGTTCAAACACACACGCTGTGATCAATGTTTTTATACTTCATTTATCTTGAGCATAATAATATAATTTCCCCAGTGAAGGATCAATAAAGTTCAACCTTAATCTCAATGTTAGATCATTAAACTGACTTTACACTGGCCGTGTGACGTAAATTCAAATCTCCATAAAAATAAGCATTAAATTCAAATCAATTAATGCTATATTGTAATATGTTTTTGTTGACAGATGATTTGAACCAATCATAGTGATTAGTTCACCTTTTTCTGTATTAGACTTAGCTTTTGTAATTTAGCCATGACATGCACAAGTGGGGTCGACAAGAATTTAAAGAAACACTCAACCAACCTGTGCAGTTACTGTACAGGGATCGCTCTCTCATGACAACAGTATTTGTAGAGTTCAGAGTACATTGTGTCACAGAGTCACATGTGTTTATGTCCCACGCCAATAAAATTACCTTCTTTTTTTTTTTTTTTTTTTCCTATTTTGTTTAACCATAAATCAGTACTGTTCCCTGTGTGGCGACTGTGTCCTGTATCATGTTCATCGTAAATAATGTAGATTATGTTATAGATAACATTGCAGAAAAGAGAAGACACATCACATATGCACATTACACAAAATTTACACAAATGACTGACAAATGACTTTTATTGTTTTATTAAATGGAGAAAAAGAGCACAGCTTCATTCACGTCTACAATTTGTTTGCTGATATTGTTAGCTGACTGTTTCCTACACGTGTTTGTTTCCGTTTCAGGAGAACCTGTTGCAGTCTGTGCTGCCGGTCTACATCTCCATGAAGATGAAGCTGGCCATCATGGAACGTCTGCAAGACTGTAAAGATAAAGCAGAGCAACAACGTCTGGTCAAAGATAACAACTTCCACAGCCTGTATGTCAAGAGGCATGAGAACGTCAGGTACAGTTAAAGTTACCTTCAAGGATGTTTCATTTATAGTGTCACACTGTTATTTAAAAACTAACTTCTACTTTAAAACAAGCATGAATCCGTTTTGTTGTTGATGCTAAAATGTAAAAAAAAAAAAACTCAAAACGTTTATTGATTAATTTGTATTTATAACCCTGTTTCTGCTGTTTAGACAGTGGCTCTCCTTATTTTGAGCCATGACTGATTTTTTTCCCCCATCCCAGTGTGACACCTTTACTGGGCCACACTATACACTTACACTTGTACTCAATTTATACTGTCCAATTAATCAAATCTCCTAATCTAACCTATGTGAGGAAACCAGATTAGCCTGAGAAATCTCAAACACACGGGGAGAACAAGCACGCTCCATTTGTGGTTGTGTTACTGTGAGACGAGGACAGCTGTCCACTTCTGCCACTCTGTATTATATATATATATTCATATATTCATATTCAGTGTCATATACATTCAGAATCATGGATGAGCTGTGTTTTGGCTTTGTCTCTGACCTATGGCTGGAACAACCTTATTCTGAGAAAGCTTCTTCTTTAAGGTTAACATTTACATAGTATTCAGTTCTGCAGGTTAGGTCTGAGTGCTTGTGTCCCTCTACTGGTCAACACACAGAAAGTCTGTTATTGGTCAGCTGTTCTGATATTAGAAATGGAAATTCCTCTTTTTGCCTGCTTTAAAAAAAAAAAAAAATTTTAAAAGTACATAGTGCATTGATTGACACTGTGTACATGAAAAGTTAGGGTTGATTTTTTTTTAAACTTTTTATAAATGTTAATTTTATTATAACCCCTGATTATTGCATGTCATTTCAAGTCAGGATTAATTAGGTTAATTAAATACAAAAATCAAAATAATGTTGATTCAGTGCTGTTTCTCTTCACAGTATTCTCTACGCTGACATCGTTGGCTTCACCCGATTGGCCAGCGACTGTTCTCCCAAAGAGCTTGTCATCATGCTCAATGAGCTATTTGGAAAATTTGACCAAATTGCTAAGGTGAGTAGTTTGAGTCTTTTCTGATGACACATCTGATCTCAGTGTGACTCAGTGTCAGAGGTTCAACAGTGCACTTGTTTAAAACCACTGTTGTTTCCTGGTTTTGGTGCAGACTCATGCTCTGCTTTAACTGCTGACTCACGACTCTTTTCATTTCTCGGTTTTTGTTCTTATCTCTTTACAGGAGAATGAATGCATGAGAATCAAGATCCTCGGAGACTGTTATTACTGTGTGTCAGGGCTGCCCGTCTCTCTGCCCAATCACGCCAAGAACTGTGTCAAAATGGGCCTGGACATGTGTGAAGCCATCAAGTGAGCTTTGAATTCCCCTTTCAGCTGTGTAACCAGGAGACGTAGAACCTGATCTGTGCTGTCTCTCATGTCTTCTGTGTGGTTGAGTCCATTGTTTTGGATAGAGATATTGGTTACATCTTTTTTCAAGTAGGGATGCAAATATAGATCAAAGATTGTTTTTTAATTATTATTATTCATTGGTGACAAACTTTAATCGCCTTTAAATGACTATTGTTCACCTAATGAGCTGAAGTGTCGCTCCTTCAGGCAGGTGCGTGAGGCCACGCGAGTGTATATCAACATGAGGGTCGGGGTGCATTCAGGAAATGTGCTGTGCGGTGTCATCGGGCTTCGCAAATGGCAGTTTGACGTGTGGTCACATGATGTGACTCTGGCCAATCACATGGAGTCTGGAGGCCTCCCAGGGTAGGTGGTAGATGTTCTTTATCCAGTGGCTGTGAATGTTGACCATCCTGGTGATGAAGACCTTCATGTGCAGTACATTATATATGTACAGCTCATGTCTTATTCATTCAGTACCAAGACTTTTATTTTGCTGCTCTCTAGACGTGTCCACATCACAGAAGCCACTCTGAAGCACTTGAACAAGGCTTATGAGGTGGAAGAGGGCAACGGTCACACCAGGGACCCTTACCTGAAAGAGCTCAATGTCAACACGTATCTGGTCATTGATCCTCGGGTGAGTTCAGATGTGCCGCAAAAAAGAAAAAACATTTTTCACAACATAATAATTAAGTATCCAGTGAAATTCCCTACCCACATTTCAGTGACCTTATTTCATCTTATCTGTGTGAGTGTGTGTGAACATTGATAAACAGCTGTATTTCACAGAGAAAAAAAAGACAGAGGTCACATGTAACTGAAATCCTAAAAAGAAATGGAATCGCTTTTTATTCTGTGTTAAAAGTAAAAGTAAAAGTGTTAAACTTTTAATCTGATTTATTTATATGAATATGTACATATATATTTTCTTTCTTTTCTTATCCCAGTTAATTAGATGTTTGATGTTAAACTCTGTAAAATAGTAAATTGCAGACATGTGGTGTATGTGGGTTGTGCCTTTGAGAACACATTGGTCACCAAAAGATCTGCAGCTGAATTTTCTGTCCTCTTTATTCAGTCTAAGGATCCGTCCCTGAACACCCGCAGTGCACCTAAGCCTCGGGTCAATGATGGTCTGAAGATGAGGGCGTCTGTGCGTATGACCCGTTACCTTGAATCCTGGGGCGCCGTCAAACCCTTTGCCCACCTCCAGAGCCCAGAGGGTTTTACCACAGATACCATTGGCAATGGCAAGCCGCACTGTAAGGTGAGAACGTGTCGTCGCTGGGCCACATTGTCATGTCGCATCACTGATATTGAGTTCTTATGTGGCCAAAGTATTTTGGTGTACAATTCTATAAGCTATACCTCAGATTGCAATTTGTAAAGTTTTCTCTACTTTTAACTATTAGACATAGTGTCGTGAATATCAACATCAGGCAGAAACAGCCGTGTCATTTTCCCTGCACTCTGACTAAGTGTTTACTGTCTTCACCAGGACATTCCCCTACGATCAGCCCCCGGCTTCAAACACACTGACAGGTAAAACTGTGTCCAGTTACTACAGTACTGACATTCTACTATCTACGACCACTGTTGTTTGTTGCTCTGATCAGAGCTGATGTCTGTTCATATAAAGCTATAAATCCAACGTTGTGGTTGAATCCATCAGGATCAGCATTGACACACTGTCCTTCTTCTGATTTTACTCTTATCTGCACTCTAGATCAGTGGTTCTCAAACTCTTTATACTCTGTACCACTTGAGAAAACATTGAGCTCATTGGCTGCTCGTGTTATTCCAGTGTTGCTGTAGTGCCTTCTGTGGAGTGAGGGCTGAGTTCTGTGGACAACACGTCCATAACGTTCATACAGTTTTAAGACAGATTAATTGTGAGACTGGTTTATTGTTGTTGACTCTCACCGTCTGCCTGTCACACAAGTGTGGAGCCACATTCTTAAATTTCAGCGAGGGAGGAGTCAGTGTGGGCTGCAGCCACACTGGTAGAGACGGTGCTGAAAGTGTGGGCCACAGTACGCCAGGGTTCCACCCAGGGAGAGAGAAATAGGATTCATTCTAAGAATATTCTAGATTTTATTCACATAAATGTGGAATGAAATGGAGGCCAGTGTTATATAGATGCTACAGCTCTGGGGTGACATGCAGTGTGTGTGTGTGTGTGTGTGTGTGAGCTGAAGCCAAACCACAGTGAAGAAAGCCAGCAAAAAATACATTAAGATATTTTTTTTTATCTTTCTGTCATAACAGAAGGTTATTTCATGCTAAAAGAAAACCAAAATTATGATCAATAAAACTCCATGTTTTGGAGTACCAGTATTTGAATGAAATATTGGGTGTGATACTATTGCAGGTATTAGTACATTTCTATGAATGAGTTGTACTCACTCCCTTTTAAGAAACGTTTTTTTTTTTTTAAATAAAATATAACTGGCCCCATGTTTTGATTTTTGATGGATCTGATGTGTTTGTGTGTTGCTGTTGGACCCTGACAGCCTTGACGATTCTCTAGAGGAACCGTCCTCACGGCCTGTACCTCCATTCAGCAGCAGCTATAAGTGAGTGGGGCCCTGAGTGGCCCGCAGGTTCTCTCAGGCAGTAGTTCTTCACCTTTTCTCTTGTGACTTTGTGAGCTGTACACATTTTTAATAAATCCTTTGGTATGCATGAGATAACTTGTCCTTTTTGGAATTACAAACTTAAAAGTTGGTAAAAGAAAAAACCCTTTCCTGTACAGTAGCATAAACAGCTGCCATTTGTCATTGTAAGAGAAAGAGGTCACACTTGGTGACCTTAGATTTAATAAGGCCATGGTGTGTGTTTGACCTTTGTTCACTGAGGTGATGTGACAGTGACGTCTCCAGTTACAGGTTTTTACAAAAATCAACTTGTTCAACTGTTATGAAGTTTAAGAAGAAGAAAAACTTCACGTTAACCATTGTGTGTTAACATTATAATATTTCTAACTTGATTTGAACCAAATAAATGAATAATTAAGCTAGCACGTAAAAGTACTAAATGTATTTGGTAGAATTAATATCAATTTAATTACATTACCATATGACAGGTTTTAGCTTTTATTTCATTATATACCCTTAACACAGGGTCCCAGACTGTACTGAGCAGCTGATTCACATCGTACATATGAATCACACATGTTTAAACCCGTCTTGTGTTGTCTCCACGGTGAGAACTACTGCCTTGGTGGAGAACCGTGCTGTTCCCCACTAACCTGAGCAGAGGAACTCTCTTCTTTTACCTCTTCTTTTCACTCATACCTTTCTGCACCAGGGCAACAGGTGATTTCGGTTTGTAACTGTAGTTGGCTGAAATGCTTCTTTTAACCCGTGTCACTGACTCAGGCATGTGTGTGTGTGTGTGGTGCCGGTGTTATCTTCCTGATAATGCTGAGGAGGTTTTCAGGCAGAAGCACAGCAGAAACGCTGACTCCCACTGGGACTCTCTAACTCGGAGTGCTGTGCGTCCGACACACTCCCCCCACGTATTGAACACACTCTCTGTGGCACAAACATTACTTCTCTCCTTCCACTAATGCTCAGAATGGCATTAACCGAGTTGCCTCCAAGCACAGCTAAGTGGGACCTGACTGAATAACCTGCATGACCTGATCTGGTTTCCCAGCATCTGTTCTAGTCGGCCTTCCTGTTACCGTGACTGTGCCCTGATCATTTGGGTTTTTTTTTGTTTTTGCTGCAGGAACAAATCCCAGAAGAGTAAGTTCGACGAAGACCTGCACAACGAGATGACCACGACCATTGATGAGCTCGGCAGCAAGTAGGTTGCATTTTCAGAGTGAAGGTTGCACTTCAGCAACAATTCACCTGTCACCAACGGTTCCCAGAGTCCTTGACCTGTAGGCGTCTTTAGCAGTGTCATATTTTTAGTCTTATTGTTCTTATTCTCTTTATTCCTTGATCCCTTCCTCCTTTCCTTCCACTATGCCTCCTCTCCTTCTCTCCTTCACTCACAGGCAGTGGTCGAAATCAGAGGAAAGTGTCCGCTTTGCTCTGTGGTTTCCAAAGAAAGATCTAGAAAAACAGGTACATTTGAAACTTGGAATTCTGAATTAGATATTAAGAAGCTTTAAGAAATGATCAGGTTTTATTTACCAGTCTTTTACACTGACTTAGTTAAACACACACTGTAGTGTCTTGTACCAAACTAGTTCATGTTACATAGCACTTGTAAGGATATTATGAGCATGGCACAATCTATCAAAATAAATTGGCACCTGTTGATTTTGATAACACTGTTCATTAATGTACCATTTTAAAAACAAACACCTAAACCATTACAGTGATTCAATTCTTTGTTCTGTTTTTCTTCCCCTCAGTACCGAGCCCTGGATCTGCCCATGTTCAGACACTATGTGGGCTGTGCCACCTGCATCTTTCTCTGCATCTTTGTGGTGCAGATGTTTGTCACAAAGGAGTAAGGACACGTTCTTTTGTTTTGAATGGAGGAAAGTAAAAGCTGGTGGACAGTGATTCTTTTTTTTTATAACAGACTGTGTTTTCACTGTCCTTCAGCCGAAATATGCTGGGAATATCATTCGGAGTGTTGGTCTGTGTGCTGTTGCTGACTCTGGCCATCTGTTTTGCAGGTCAATTACAGGTCAGTGAGTTAGGTTTTGTAAAGGTTGTTTGGGTATTTTGGTGACTTTTGGTTTATTTCTTGTATATATATATATATATATATATATACACATATATATGTATATATGTGTATATATATATATATATATACAAATATATACATATATATGTGTATATATATATATATATATACACATATATATGTATATATGTGTATGTGTATACATATATATATGTCTATATGTGTATGTGTGTATATGTATATATGCATGTACAGTATATGTGTCTATGTCTATGTCTATCCTGCAGTGCTGAAAAAAAACTTGTCTTGGATTCTACCCCCCAACTTTATGGTGCTGACATCTTACATTCTGTCCTTGGGGGACATTTTTGGACACATTCCTTTACTGGGAATAGCCTTTGCACACACACACACACACAGACAGACACACGTGTGGACACATGCCACTCATACCTGACGTCCTCACCTCTCTGTACTCTCTGCAGCGCCTCTTCCCAGCGAAGCTGTCCAGTTGCCAGTGGCTACCAGCTGTGTCAGAGGCTGTGGTGAAGCGGCCGTGTGTGCGCCTCCCTCTGGCCACCATAACTACAGTGGTCATTATTATCTTGGCAGTGTTCAACCTGGTATGAAACTTTTTTTTTTCATTTCTTGTCCATCTGTATTACATAACTGTCAACACAGTCCAGTGGTTTACTGTCAGTCCGACCTTTGTTTTTCTTTTCCACTTCCTGCAGTGCTTCATCCAGACTCCTGTGAAGGACTTTTCTGACCTATGTCACTCAAATAACTCGTCTCATGAGGGACTGGATGGTGGTCTCTTTTATTTACCAGTGAGTTTCAACAAGTCAAGTCAAATATCTGACATGGGTTTAAAGGAGTGTCTGAAGATTTAAGGAACAAAAACAGTCGATTCAGTTACTTCAGTCTTTCTTAAGCTTCTGCTAAAATCTGACAGTGTACACTGACTGCCGAGTAGTCTGATCCTGTTTCTAATATACCCCCCCCCCTCCCCGCAGTACTCTGTGTACTGCTGCATTCTGTCACTAATTGCATGTGGAGTGTTCCTGCGCGTGAGCTTCGAGCTCAAGGTTCTCTTCCTCACCCTGGCCTCCACCACCTACTACATCCTCATCCTCAGCACCAAGAGCCAGCTCTTCATGATCTATGGAAACGTCCTCTACTCTCAGGCCAACATGAGCTGGAACTGCAGCAGGTGGGGGCACTATTCCTTTCTGATGTTTCTGTCATTGGTCACCACGGCAGATCGTTCGCCGTTGTTCTCAAGGTTGACATTGAGTCTAGAGATGAGTGTTCCACATTGTTCTACAGCACGGATGACGAGTCCATCCTGAGGTGGATAGGTCTGGTGAAACACCCTCAGCTGATGAGCTGTATATACATCACACTCTTCCTGGTGACCATGCTGATCATCTCACAGCAGGTAGTGACGCTCTGCGTTCTCTGAAGACCTCCTCCTCATCATATCTTACAGTTTTAAGACATTAAATCACACTGTTGGGATTCTTCAGTCCTCACTTTAAACTGAAACTCCCTTCTGTTGATCTCGTAGAATGAGTCCTGCTTCCGACAGGATTTCTTATTAAAGTATAAGAACCACACGGAGCAGGATGAGATCGAGACCAGGGAGAACCTGAACCGGCTGCTGCTGGAGAACGTGCTGCCCGCACACGTGGCTAATTTGTTTGTGGGTGAGCATAAAAAGAATGAGGTAAGAAGAAAGGTGAGTGAAAGAAAAGAAAAAATCTGAGACCATTTCTATGGACGATTAATCTGAACTTCTCCTCTGAACCAACAGGACCTTTATTACCAGTCGTACAACTGCGTGTGTGTGATGTTTGCCTCGGTGCCAGACTTCAAGGAGTTTTACACAGAGTGTGATATCAACAAGGAAGGCCTGGAGTGTCTGAGGCTGCTCAATGAGATCATCGCAGACTTTGACGAGGTCAGGGAGACAAGGACAAAGACACTGTCTGCTAATTCTTATTCACCAACCCTTCAACAAACGCCAAGCGGACTCATGAACACACAGGCCTGGACTTTAGATTTGTCCTGAGTCGTTTCACCACATGCTCTGGCTAAGAGTTTAAGTTTGAACGAGCCACAGGTCGATACAGTATCAGATCTAAGTATAAAGCCACATTGGTTTGAAGGGACCTTTGATCATGGATGAATGAATCGTGCTCTCATGATGAATGGGAGATGGTTTCTCCAGCTGCCTCCTCAGAACAGCACCAGTACTGTATATACTCACTCCGGTCTAAATGACTTGGGTTTTAACAGTTCAGTGTGAACGTTAACACACACAGCTCTCTGATGAACGTTCACCTACTGGCTGTAATGTCATCATTATTGTATGTTTTTAAAGCAGAACTTGTTTAATGTCCTGACTAATATTGTTACGGATGGTGTCGGGGCGAGGAGAGGCGGGGGTGCAGTACTGTGGTCGGGTGTAGCTGTTGACTTGATTAACCTTTTTGGTAATAAATTACCAACGACTACTGCTGAAAAATGTGAAAAAGCAAAACCTACGCAGGAAGTCAGAACTTTCTGCAATAAAAACAAATTGTGTTTTATCAAAAAATGCCAACATCATTTATTAATTTATTTTTCACCCCCAACAGCTGCTGTCAAAGCCAAAGTTCAGTGGTGTGGAGAAGATCAAGACCATCGGCAGCACCTACATGGCTGCTGCTGGGCTGAGTGGAACACTGGTGCAGGAGAACAACCAGGTACAGACGACACAGCTACAGACCGAGCTACAGAGAATTGGAATCTGTGTGTACAGTGGTACTGGACAGTGACTGTGACTGTGGTTGTGTTGGACAGATTCAGGACATTGAGAAGCAGCCGGCTCAGATTGGGAACATGGTGGAGTTTGCCATCGCTCTCATTGGTAAACTGGACGGCATCAACAGACACTCCTTCAACAGCTTCAGGCTGCGTGTGGGTGAGTGAGTGAGTGAGTGAGTGAGTGGAGCTCTCTCTGATGTGCAGCTCCGTCGACTACCTCTGTAACACAGCAGTGTGTCAGAGCTCGTCTTTGCGGTTTCCTGTGCAGTTCAGGAGGAAGTCAAGTGAAAACATTTGAGAGCACGAAACAGGGTTTTTATTGGAGGAATAAAGTCAGGCTCGTGTCTGTTGTTATGTCTGCAGTTTTTACACACTTGTTTCCCAGACAGCGGATTCCTGAGCGACTCATGGTGGAGAGAATTACAGTCGCTATCAGAAGTTATGTCTGAACAGGTTTAGTGTTGACGCAATAGAAATGTTAACGTTAAAAGGTTTTTTAAAAGGGTGTGAAAGGTCATGCAGTAAAATCTGATTTTTTTTTCATGGTCAAAGCTGTTAAAATAAAAGTACAAATAAATTAATAGCAACCATAGTGTTTAGCTAAAAGGTTCTTAACGTCTTAAAATTAAAACCAAGGATGTCACGGGAAAATTAGCCAAAAGCAGCAAAAAGGATATAACAAAACCTAAAGTAGCGCGATGTAACGTCGTGTAAAGCAAAACAAGCTAAAGGTTAGCTTGAACTGAAACATTTATCTGTAAAAAATGCTTGAATGTGGCAGGAAGTAGTGACAAAGCTCCGTGAATAATAGTGGAACTGATCAGATGACACACCGCTTTCCTCAACTGAACTTTTTTTTCACTTTGTGCAGCTAAAGATTTTATCTCACTGATCTGTTTTTTGGAAATGTTGCTCAAACTGTCTCCTATAAAACCTGCATTTGTTCATGACATTATCCGTCGTAAAAAACACAGACGTAAACTGGCCTGTGTGGTTTTTCCACAGGCATCAATCATGGCCCAGTGATAGCTGGAGTGATCGGGGCCAGGAAACCTCAGTACGACATCTGGGGCAACACAGTGAACGTGGCCAGCAGAATGGAGAGCACCGGAGAGCTTGGAAAGATCCAGGTATGTCGGGAAAGACCAAAGTAACAGTGGAGCCACAGATTGATATTTGGACTTGATTTTTGAAGTTTGACCTTACTTGCACCAATGCTCACATACTTAGGGCTCTATATAACATTAAAAAGATAACGTTTCTGAGACTGATCCAAAACTGATTCACGTTTTATCAGAATAATGAGAGACAAAATCTCCAAACAGTTCCAGTTTCAATAACAGCTGCTTTTTTATCAACTTAAATAACAAATCTAATTCATGGCTAGTAACCAGAGACAGTTGCTCTAAGACATCAGGGGAACTTCAACTTCCTTTTGAAATAAGAGGGTTTCCATGTGTTCTAGAAAACCTTGAAAGAGAGTGAGCACATTTCCTGTTAAAGAAAACATATGGAAAATGAGGGAAAAAAACTCAAAAATCCTGGAAACACTTAAATAGTTATTCTGCCGTTCCCTGCATTTTACTGTAATGACGACAAAGTGTTGTGTCAAGTTGTCGCACTGTCGCTGATTCCATCGGCCATGTGACACTACCAGCCAATGAAACAGCATAGAAGCTGGGCTCCTGCAGTATGATTGAACGAACTGTTTAAGAGGCGTAACCACCTTTTTGACTGACTTTTGGTTTGCTAAACAGCGCATGTCTATTTTACGTGTATACTGTTTATAATAATATCTGGTGCTGTATAAAGATTGTGTTCTGGCTGTTAAGGTGGAGAGCAGTCACTAAAGGCTTTGGCTTTTCTGATGTAATACTGTCCCCAGGTCACAGAGGAGACGTCAGCCGTGCTGACGAAGCTAGGATACTCCTGTGAGTGTCGAGGATTTATCAATGTCAAAGGGAAAGGTGAGCTCAAAACTTTCTTTGTTTGCACCGACATGAGCAAGCAGCAGGGAATGTGTCTGAGCTGAGGCCCCGCAGCCTCGGCCAAGAGTCAAATAGTTTACACACTCCTGCAGCAGCAGCAGAGCCGGTGTTGACACAGGAGCAAACGCTGCTGCAGCTGCAGTGACTGTGACTGTGCCGAGTGGGAAGTACTAAGGAACCCGCTGCACCACAGTGTGCCGGCTGTATCTCTGGACTCCGTCTGCTCTGGAACCTTGGGTTCGTCCGTTCCTTTTGCACTGCATGTTTACAAGATACAGAAATGCACACTGTACTGATGATAGGGAGGACATCTTTGGACCCTTAACAACTAAAACAATGGACCCCGTTTTGACCATATTCTTGGAGCCATGGGATTTGCTGTTTGAGAAGGGAAGGGCTCTGCTGTTACTATGGGGTGTGCAGGGGCTACAGTTTGTGGCTGAAACAAGCTGCACATTTGGATTCTGCAAGAACGTCAAGTTTCATTCTGCTGCATATCCTCCAGCTTCTACATCTTCAGCATCTTTGATTCTTAAACTACTCTTTTACATGAAGTTCTCTGAGATTCCAGCTCCGACACAAAACAGTTTGAAGAGGACAAAGTCAAATCCACTTGCTGTGTGTACTCTGCTGAAATATGAAATCCATTTACTCTGTTGCTGCCTGCCTGCCTGTGTGTGAGCTTCACCTATTCAAGGAGGGTCACCTGACCAACCCTGCATCACACACTCACATGTGCCTTGTCTTCTCAGACCATCATCTTCTCTGTAATTGTGGTTACATATTAATGATAATAAATATGATAATGTATTGACCTTAATGTGACAAAAAAATGTAAAATTGGATTTTGTACAGTAAAAGAATGTAATAAATGTTTTACTGTTTGTCCTTTAGTCATTTCACCACAAAGCTATGGGTTGGATATAAAACGTTTATTGATTGAAAAACACAAACAAAACAACACAACAACTTTTGTACAAAACTTAAGTGATGAAACTAAATGATGAAAGGGTTGAAGGTTTTATTTAACAGCCACAGCAGGAGCAGCATCCTGACACGTGACGTCCATGGCTTCAACCGTCTCCACTGAAAACAAATGTGATATTTTAGACTTCTACCAATTACAACTGCTGTCATATTTTACATTTAATTAACATTTAATTTGTCAAAATAATCTATGTTGAAAATAATTGTCAGGTGCAGCCAAAGTCTTTCTTCC